TTTGTGGTGGATTTTACTTTAAAGTCTATTTTGTCAGAGATTAATATTGCTACTCCTGCTCTCTTTTGAGTGTTGTTTGCTTGATATATTTTTTTCCATCCTTCAAGTTTTAGTTTGTCTTTAAGTCTAAGGAGTGTCTCTTTTAGGCAGCATATAGACAGATCATGTTTTTTTATCCAGTCTGCCACTCTGTCTCTTTATTGGTGCATTTAGTCCATATACATTCAAGATAATTATTAATAGGTATGAGTTCAGTGCTGTTATTTTGATATCTTTTTTTGTGTGTTGTTCACAGTTTCTCTGTTCCACTTAATTTTCTGTGCTGAGTCATTTTTCATTATGTATTTTCTTTTCGTCTTTTTCATTGTTGTTGATTTTCTGTTTGCTGCATCTTTATATTTTTCTAGTTTTTTATTTTGACTTGTAGCATTGTTAGTTTCCTTTGTGGTTACCTTAATATTTACCCCTATTTTCTAAGTTTATACTAGTCTTTTATTTCTTTATATTGCCTAAACTTCCTCCCCATATGCAAAATCTATATCTACATTGTTATATCCCTCTTTTTTGTTTTAACGTTGTCATCTTTTACACATTGACATCTGTTTCCCTATTTTCAGTGTTTTAGCTTTGATTTACTTTTGCAACTTCCCTATCTGGGTTGCTATCTGGTTGCTCTGTCCTGTGTTCTAGTCTTGGGTTGTTATCTGAAGTTGCTGATTTTCTAACCAGAGGACTCCCTTTAGTACTTCTTGTAATTTTGGTTTGGTTTTTGCAAATACCCTAAACTTCTGTTTATCTGGAAATGTCCTAGTTTTGCCATCATATTTGAGAGACAGTTTTGCTGGATATATAATTCTTGGCTAGAGTTTTTTTTCCTTCAAGGCTTTACATATGTCATCCCATTGCCTTCTTGTCTGCATGGTTTCTTCTGAGTAGTCCGAGCTTATTGTTACTGACTCTCGTTTGTAGATGACTTTTCGTTTATCCGTAGCTGCTCTTAAAATTCTCTATCTTTGGTTTTGTCAAGTTTGATTATAATATGTCTTAGTGACTTTCTTTTGGGATCTACCTTATGTGGGATTTGATGAGCATCTTGGATAGATATCTTGTCATCTTTCATGATATCAGGGAAATTTTCTGCCAACAAATCTTCAACAATCCTGTCTGTATTTTCTGTTATCCCCCTCTGTTCTGGTACTTCAATCACTAGTAGGTTATTCCTCTTGATAGAGTCCCACATAATTCTTAGGGTTTCTTCATTTTTTTAATTCCTTTTATCTGATTGTTCCTCAAATAAGTTGGTGTCAAGTGCTTTATCTTCAATGTCACTAATTCTGACTTCCGTTGCCTCAGTTCTGCTCCTGTGACTTTCTATTGAGTTGTTTAATCCTGAAATTTTATTGTTTAATCTTCTGGATTTCTGATTGCTGTCTCTGTATGGATTCTTGCAGCCTGTTAAATTTATCATTATGCTCTTCTCTAATCTTTTTAATTTCCTCTGTTACGTCTTCTGTGTTTTGCTTAATTTCCTTCCTAATTTCTTAAAGAGTTCTGTGTATTAATCTTTTGTATTCTGCCTCCAGTAATTCCAAGAAATTTTCGTCCTCTGGAAAATTTCTAGATTCTTTATTTTGGGAGCTTGCGAAAGCCATCATGGATTGCCTCTTTATGTGATTTGATATTGACTGTTGTCTCTGAGCCATCAATAAGTTATTATATTTATTTATTTTATGTTTGCTTACCGTGTCCTAGCTTCTTGTTTTGTTTTGATATACCCAAATAGGCTGCTCATATGAGCTAGTTTGATTATCGGCACCGTTGAAGCTCTAATGTCCTGTCAGCAGGTGGTTAGATCTGTTACTAGGTATGTGAGCTCAGAGTCTGCTCACTCCTCCTATATGGATTCAGTTCAGGTGCCCAGGTAGATAGCCACCAAGTGTGTGGTGTAGGCTCTCACTTATAGTCCTAGACAAGCATGGGTGATTGGTGTAGGCACAGGCATCTGGCTGCAGCAGGGGGACACACTCTGAGCAAGGCAGGGGACTGATGGCCACCCCCGAGTGTCCAGGAGGAAGGTGTGTCCCTGTTCCCTAGAGTGCATAGGTGGGTGGGTTTTGCTGTCAGACTATGAGTGCCTAATGCTGTTGGCTGTAAGGACTCAGAGGCACCTCTTATTCAAGGGCCCCTATCACAGGTGGCTAGGTGGCGTGGGTGGAGCCTCCAATCCTCAGGCCCCTGATGTGGGTAGGTGAAGACCCTGCTTAATGAGGAGAGCAGTGTCAAATGTCAAGAACCTGCCCCTTCACGGCTGAAACATTTCAAGTTAGACTTCCGGTATATACCCTGTTGTACTGCGGTAATGAGGGCCTATGCTGTTGAGATGGGTCCACACAAGTCTATGCAGGAGGAAAAGCACTCAAAGTCCATGAATCCCTTATGCCTGTGCCTAGGCAAAGAGCTGTACCTACCCTGGGTTCCTGGCTTAGGGGAGCCAGCAGTTTATTTTTTCCCATTTGTTAATTTGTTTACTCCCCAAGGCAGGGAGAATGGCTCCGGGCGTGTGATGTATCCTACTTCCAGCCCAGGGGACTCAGCAATTGCTGAAGCTGGTCTGGGACCCAGTCCAGAGCGGGGAGTGTGGAGGTAAATGGGAGAGAGGTTTTTCCCTAAGGCGGGTGTTTTTGATCCACGTGGTAGGCCATACGCAAGTACTGATCTTTCGCCGATCCAGGGCTGCTTCTCACTAGTTCTGGCTGGCCGTGTAGACTCTCTGGCCGTGGATCTCTCCCAGTGCAGAAAACGCGCCTCCCGAGCACCGCCACTTGCCTGCCTCACTGCTCACTCCTGAGCTGATCAGGCCTGAAGGGCTCAGGCTCTTGCGGGGTCAGGTCTGGCAACTCTTCACTGCTTCCAAACCGTCTCTCCCTCGCCCTGCCACTCAGTCTGGTTCCTCAACTCTGCCTTTGATGTTCAGAGCTCCCAGATTGCCATATATAATTGATTCACTTGTTGTTTTCAGGTCTTTGTTGTAAGAGGGTCCACTGGAAGCATCTGACTACTCTGCCATCTTGGCCCTGCCTCCTGCATTGCAGTTCTACTCTGAAATACGTGGGATCTCCATGAGTCTGACTTGATGGCAACTGGTGGCTTTATTTTTGTTTTTAGTAGTACTCACACATTTATATACATATAAAGTATTTACATGTAAATATAAATTTTGCTATTCTGCCTTTTTTACCATTATATTGAGATCTTTTCCTGGAAGGAAGTAGAAATTCCCTAATTACTCTTTTCAAAAACATCACTTTTGATGGCTGCATAAAACATAATTGTATAACTGTAATTTTATGTAACCTTTCTCTTACCACTGGACGTTTAGATTTCAAGGTTTTCAGTATTATAAATTACTCTCTGATAAGCAGCTTTGTACCTACATTTTACTAAACAGTTTGGATTATTACCTTAAGGTTCTTAAAAGGGAAATGATACACCAAGGGCTTGAAACATATTGCCAGCAACTTTCTAGAAAGATGGAAACAAATAATGCTTCTGCTAGCAAGGTAGGTGATAGCTTATTTCACTCCATTCCTCACAGCATTGAGTATTCTCAGTTTTTCCCCCTTAAATATTTGCTAGCTTGATTGGTGAAAAACAGTATAATTTGACTTTGAACTTCTTAGATTAGTGGCGAGGCTAAACATTTTTCTAGAAGCTTATGCCTGTTTCAGGTTACCATTTTGCCTTAGCCCTGTGCCGTTACCTACAGGAGTAGTTACTGGAATCAACTTCCGTTTTCCCCCTCAAAAAATCAATTTATATTTATTAAAATGTATTTGGATACAGGTTTTTATACCCTTTTTGACAAAAATTAATGATTACACACCTGGCTCTTTTATGAATTGAACTAAGCCACATTTATTTGGATCTTGTTTTAATAGACTCACTCTACCCCCTAATATTGTAACATCCCTTGGAATAGGCAGTATCAGAAAAATAGAAACCTCCCAGTAGATAGTGAAAGAAATGTCACATCAGGGTCTGCACATTGCTATGACAACCCAGGCTCCATCTATCACCACTCCCATCGGCATACATTGCAAAGGAAACCCCTTTGCAGTGTTTAATCAGAAAATTTTAATATTAAATATATATTCAACATTGAGATCTCACACCTTATTTGCTATTGTCAGGCTTAGTTGATAGACAGCTAAGTTAGTCTCTTTTTATAGTCCATTTCTAAAATGAAACTATAAATTTTGAAACTGGGCTTCATCATTGCAGAGAGAAAAGCTTCTCCAAGCCTATTGTTGAAATATAACATTTTATAGGATTTATGAGGTCCAGGTTCACGAAGATCATTTGCCAAGCACTTAAGGCTGGTTTTGCTGCCCTTTGCTTTTCTTCCCACCCCCTGCAAACATACCACCATTAGAAAAGAAAAATTATGAAGAAGAACTTATTTGATTCGATACAAATGCCAGCCTTAGATTTAAAAAAAAAGTCCTGGACATTCACTGTAAAGAACTTTGAGTAGACAAGGCTGCTCCTTGGTGACAGGCATACTGTTTGCTTCTGCAAATGAAGTGGGCATCCGATTTGTTTTGATATTAAATGAATACCTTTGATTCAAATCTATGTTTTGAATTTCTGCCTATAATATGAGTCCTTTCCAGTATGCTTTCAGCATTCTTTTTGAAATTCCATGATATGACAAGCTCCATGATTTGGTCTTATTCCCTGTAGCTTGCTTTATTGCTGTTATTTTACACAGGAAAATAGATTATCTGAAACTTGTGATCACAGTAGCTGTCAAGTGGTCGAAAATGAAGAAAACCACCAGACAGTGTCAGATTTATTAAGTGCTCTAGAAGTACAAAATTAATGCAGTTATTTGTCTTTGAAACGTTCAGTGTCCACAAGCTGGATTTATCCTAACGGACAAGTGTTGGGAGGAACAATTGTCAATTAGCTATCTCTTTAGCCAGACTACACGTCGTTGGAACACATGTAGGGTGAACAACCAGTGTACCTAGGCAGACCTCCAATTTGTTCATCTTGACTGCAAATGACTTAATTTAACATTTTTCTAACAAATGCATCAGGTAGAATGGTGAAGTTTCCTATTTAAATTTTCTTTTTCTTATAAGAATCACCAGTGAAAAACCATACTAAGTAGGCTTCTCACTCCATTTGTTTTCAATCACCACCCTTAATGCATGAATTTCTGAATAACCCCTGACTCTTCCAAGCACTAAACTGCAGCAGTGAATGTGGGATGGAAAGTTCTGATGCTGCATCTATTGAGCCTTTGTTGGGTTTGAAAAGGTTTTATATGCACGGCAGGATCATTCCTGTGCTGGGTCGTCTTGCCTGTGGTCCTTTACTGTGTTTGTTTGTTTTTAAACATGATTGAATTTTGCATTACCTTCTTATTAGAGCTACAATGTGCAAAAGGTTTTGAAAGAAAAGTTTTAGTTTTGGATCCCATATAAACCATTTATTCTCCCTACAAGACTTAGGGATCATTAATCAAACATATTAACATTCATTTCACCTGCTGATAATTTCATCTCCTAATCAAGCCATTTGTTTCATGTTATTTTTCGGTTACAGCATTAACATATTTTCCCTCAAAAATATTAACCTTTCACCCTGTGCATTCTGGGGGTATAATGAAAACATCTGTTGCGTGTCTATGTCAATGCTATTTTCACATCTTTTTATATTTGTGGGCGGATTCCAAGCTGGTTCTAAGTGGAGACGCACTTGAAACAAAATTCAGTAACTATATGTCTAGCCTCGTGTTGTTTAAATTGCGGGATTTCAAACTTTAACGCGAAGCCCTGCCGTAAAGACTTGATGCTGAATTCAGCAAACGTTGGCTTTTGCACTTTTAACTGCATCGCCCCCCCCCACCCCCGCTTTTACAACAAGGGATATACTCAGGGTATTACACAATTAGTTATCTAAAGTATTTTATGAGCAGATAAATACACCAACTCTGAGACTGGCTTGTATATTTTTATGGCAACTCTGTGAATATTCTCTTTGGTACAAAGTAGAGTATGTGTATGGAAACATTACTTCTGAATTTTTTATAGGTTCACTCCCTTAGCCATTCTAGCTGCTGTCTCCTACAAAATTTGAGTCATACCTCAACTGTCCAAATCCTCTTTCAATGTTCAGCTGCCCTGAAGTGTGCAGTTGTGGAATACATCTAAATGTCTCAAGTGAAAAAATTGGAGGCATTGGTTTTAACAAAAGAAATAAAATGGCTATAGCCGAAAAGCATTCTAGGGGTAAACTTCTTTTTTTGTTGTTGAACTCCTGCTCAGTAAAAACATTTTTAAAAACAGATGATCTTAGCCTGTCTTTTTTGTTTTTGTGTCTAGAGAAGCCAGAAGGAAGGAATTCAATTTTTATGGTCCCTAAGATTTCAGTACAGAGCACCGCAGTATGGGAAACAATATCCAGCTTATCACCCTGAATTCCCATTGTAAGTGCACTTACAGGAAGGTGAGAGTGTTCATGTAACAGATGGAAAGGGAAATGATATGCATGGAAATGAAATTATATTTCCCGGACAGAAGTTTCAAAATTCTCTTCTTGAACCCCAGCATGAGGCCAGCATTGCGTATGCAGTAGGCACTTAGTAAATTTCTTTTGGAACTTGATGACTGGCCTTTAGTACCATTAATGTCCCAACCTAGGGCTGGCCTTGGAGAAGAATGTAGAGCAAGGACAGGTTCTGTTAGGCTCCATTCCACCTCCCCCAGTCCCCTACCAGGACTTTAAGGTCCTCGGGTTCTGCAACTTTCACTCTTGGTATCAAAACTTGCCCTCACAGTATTAACTCACGTACAGACGAATGGGGTCTTAAAGAGATAGACTCCCAACGCCATTTGTATTTTAACAGAGATTAAAGCCTTAAACTAAACTAAGGTTGAATTTCAGGCATCAGTCTGGAGGTGATGGGCGGGCAGTAAGGGCTTCCTAATTACACTGGAAGCCTACCTTCGTGTCCTTCCTCCCTAATTCATAAGGCCCTTTACCAGGCCCAGCTAGTGTCTCCTGAAAATATTAATCAGAACATTTCAAAATGTATGTTTGGAGATTTGAATTAACCTGGAGTATCAGGTTGAGTGGTTTCCATGGTTTTGTAAGTCCTTGACAGGCCTGACTTCATAGGCAGTGAACGTATCCATTTCCTAACATCATAGTCCATTATCTTTTACCCAGAGCTGGACTTGACTTAAAAACAAGGAACTTGGCTACTGGCAGCAAAATGCTTTTGCTTTTACTGGATATGGAATGTCATATTTCCATTTGGCACTTCTCCCTTTAGCCCTGTTCAGGATTTCAGCTAGCTCTGCAGAGTGCTAGCAAGTGTCATGCTTATTAAAAAACTTTATTAATCAGAGTAGAGTGCTATTTGGCAGTTCAATTCTAATGAGGATGAGGAGCTAAATTTTATTCAAAGTTAAAGGTCAGCAAATGGTGCTAGCCTACCTTCTCTGAAGTGTGTGAGCTTGGACGTTCTCACAGTTTCCTGACAAATTTCGTCTGGAAGTGTGTATGCTATATTTAGTATGAAATAGTGTGGAAAAGGTTTCCAATAACACCATTTCAACACACATACATTCCATGAGTGTTAATAAGCCAAGCACATTACTCGTTGGCTAGACAATTCTTATGGGAGTAGAAGGCACCACAATGCTATAGCAATTGCTGGCTGAGAAACAGGAGGCCATGAGAACATGTTGCAGTGGTTCCTGGAGAGAGCTTCAAAAACTGGTGGAAATTTATTTAAACAGTGAACTCTCTGTGCAATACCTGGAAATGGCAGAGTAACTGGCATGAAGCCATTAGGGAAGTACTTACTGTGTTCAGCTTATGAGCCTAGGAGAGAGAAATAGAAAAAGGAAAATGTTCTCCAGGAAGCAGCTTAAGACGTTGCTGAGTAGTTCTGGTTCTACCCTGTCTCCCATACCCTTGTGTTTATATACTCCATACCGCCCTGCCACAGACCCTGTCCCGTCCTTAAATAGCACCATTGCTTCTTCCTTTTTCCTTCACACTTCTCATCGCACACTTCCTTAAATCCTTTCTTATTTCCTGCTCTCCTAAAAGCTTGTTTATTAAACACATGCTAGGTGAAGGCACTGTGCCAGGTTCTACAGACGACATAAGAATGATTGAACTCATATTTCTTAGCCGATCATGGTTGGGGATCAGACAAAGATTTCAAGGTATCAAATAAATAAATGATCCTCTATAAGGTCGCTATGAGTCAGAATCAACTCACTGGCAACAGGTATAACGGGCAATGCCACGTAGAGGAAGATAAGAGTCAGAAGTACAAAGTATTGTGGGGATTCCAAGGCAGGAAAGACTGCTTCCTACCAGAAAAGTTTCCGTAAAATAGCCTGTGTTTGAAACAAAGTACATCTGAATTCATCTGTTTCTCTCTACCTCACGACCAACCGTCTAAGCCAATCCACCATCATCTCTCACCTGGAATTCTCCAAGAACTTCTGCTCTGCCTTCCACAGAAGAGCCAGGGTCAGATCATGTTATTTACTGGATAAAAATCTTCTAACATCTTCTCATTTCACCCAGAGTAAAATCCAAAAATTTTACCCAGTCCTACAAGGCCCGTATGGTCTCAGCCTTGCCTATCTATGCAAATTCCTTGCTTACCACTTTCCCCTGTGACCATTAAACTCCAGCCACATGCACTTTCTTTGTCTTCCTTTAAGTCATCAAGCAAATTCTCTCCTCAGGGCCTTGGCACTAGCTGTTTTCTCTCCCTGGAATGCTCTTCCTGGAAATGCTTCTCACTGGTTCCTTCATGTAATTCAGACCTTAGCTTAAAGGATTTTTTTTTGACTACTCAGCGTTCCTTATCACCATATTGTATTGTATTTTAAACCTTTCAGTGACACTTATCAGTGCTTAATTTTTTAAAATTAGTTTATTTGTCTATTGTCTCGTTCCCCACACTAGAACATAAGGCCAATGAGGTTAAGGACCTTGCCTGTTTTGTTCTCCGCCTATATTCCCAGGTCCTAGAATAGTTGCTGGTGAATAGTAGATGCTCAATAAATATTTGCCTGATGAATGTTAAGAATCTTGAAGGATTTCTCAAGTAGATAATCTTTCCTTTATTTTTTGTACCAGGCATAGTTCAGATACCAGAAAAATAGCTATAAACAGGACATATAAGGCCCCTGTTTTCACGCTATAGTATAGTGGAGGTTCCATAGTGGAGGTAGGTAGACAAAAATAGGTGAATGAATTAATACACAAGATATGCTTAGAGAGCAGTCGGTACTATGAAGGAAAGCAAGTAGGCTAACTGGGTAAGGAGTGACTCAAAGGGTCTTCAGATAAGATTGCCAGAGGAGGTTCCTCTGACAAGAGAGAACATGCCTTGACAAAATTTGAGGAACAGTGTTTCAGGCAGTTGTTGTTGTTAGGTGCCATAAAGTAGGTTCTGACTCATAGCAATCCTGTGTACACCAGAACAAAACACTGCCCAGTCCTGTGCCACCCTCACAATCATTGTTACGCTTGAGCCCATTGTTGCAGCCACTGTGTCAATCCATCTCGTTGAGGGTCTTCCTCATTTTCATTGACCCACTAGTTTACCAAGCTTGATGTCCTTCTTCACAGACTGATCTCTCCTGATAATATGTCCAAAGTATGTAAGACAGTCTCACCATCCTGGCTTCTAAGGAGTATTCTGATTGTACTTCTTCCAAGACAAATTTGTTTGTTCTTTTGGCAGTCCATGGTATATTCAATATTCTTCGCCAACACCATAATTCAAAGGCATCCGTTCTTTGGTCTTCCTTATTCGTAGTCCAGCTTTCACATGCATATGAGGCGATTGAAAACACCATGGCTTGGGTCAGGCACACCTTAGTCTTCAAAGTGACATCTTTACTTTTTAACACTTTAAAGAGATCTTTTGCAGCAGATTTGCCCAATGCAATGCGTCATTTGATTTCTTGACTGCTGCTTCCATGGGTGTTGATTGTGGATACAAGTAAAAGGAAATCCTTGACAACTTCAGTCTTTTCTCTGTTTATCATGATGTTGCTTATTGGTCCAGTTGTGAGGATTTTTGTTTTCTTTATGTTGAGGTATAATCTAAACTGAAGGCTGTGGTCTTTGATCTTCATCAGTAAGTGCTTCAAGTCCTCTTCACTTTCAGCAAGCAAGGTTGTGTCATCTGCATATTGCAGGTTGTT